AGGACTGTTTAAATTCAAACAAAACATTAACTGGCATAAATAAAATCATGAAAATATTTTAATTAATATTATAAACACACACAACTTATAGACCTCAATCCTGTACTGAGAACTGAATTGTCAATGAGACTCGAGGTTTGTTGCATGGATTGGTTCCTGAGTAAGAGTTGTTATGGTGCGGTGTGTGGTTGCTGGTGAGAATATGCTTAAGATTGGCGGGTTGTCTGTGGGCGAGGACTGGCCTGCCTCCCAAGGTCTGTGAAAGCGAGGGATCATTGTCCAGGATGGGTTGTAGATCACTGATGATCCATGCAACAAACCTCGATACCAACTCTGCCCACATATCTACACCAGCAACATCATCACAGGACCTAACCTGATCAGCTATAAAATCACCGGTTCATTCACCTGCACGTCCACCAATGTTATATACGCCATCATATGCCAGCAATGCCCCTCTGCTATGTACATCAGCCAAACTGGACAGTCCCTACATAAAAGGATAAATGGACACAAGTCAGATATTAGGAATAGCAATATACAAAAACCTGTAGGAGAACACTTCAACCTCCCTGGCCACACAATAGCAGATGTAAAGGTAGCCATCTTACAGCAAAAAAACTTCAGGACCAAACTTCAAAGAGAAACTGCTGAGCTTCAGTTCATTTGCAAATTTGACACCATCAGATCAGGATTAAACAAAGACTGTGAATGGCTATCCAACTACAGAAGCAGTTTCTCCTCCCTTGGTGTTCACACCTCAACTGCTAGCAGAGCACCTCACCCTCCCTGATTGAACTAACTTCGTTATCGCCAGACTGATTCTTGCCTGCATATTTATACCTGCCTCTGGAAATTTCCATTACATGCGTCTGACGAAGTGGGCATTCACCCACGAAAGCTTATGCTCCAATACATCTGTTAGTCTTTAAGGTGCCACAGGACTCTTTGTTGCTTTTTATTGAATTATTGTTATAAGCATAGTAAATATTTTAAAAAAAATAACTTGTTTAAATACTGGGGAGGGCATGAAGAAACTTTGTCAATATCACTTTTCACAGCAGACTTAATGCCTCATTGCCACCCTTACTTCTGTGCTGCTGGCGGCGGGGCAGCTCTGAAAGCAGCACCGCTGCCAGCAGCAGCACAGAAGGGTGGCAACAGGGCACTAAGTCTGCTGTGAAAAGTGATATTTGTATGTTTGTTAATCACTTTTCACAGCTTTCCAGCTCTGAAGGCAACACCACGTCCAGCAGTAGTGCGCTGCCTTCAAAGTTAGGTGGCTGGAGAGCAGCAGCAGCGGCTGCTGGCTGGGTGCCTAGCTCTGACGGTGGCAATGCCATATCATGCCACCCTTACTTCTGCATTACATTTGATTTTTTCGCTGCGAGGGATGGCTTGGGGGGGCAGGGGCAGAGCTAAGGAAAATTGTGATGGGTATAGCCCCCGCAAGTCCCCCTAACTCCACCTCTGTTTGTTTGTCTGACTGTTAAATTATAAATTACTTTTTATTGGTCAATCTCAGTGTTCTGAGTGGTCTGTGGTTTAATGCAGCTCTTCAGCGCTGAACAATCAAGCCCTCTAATGTTATCTCAGTCCCACCTTTTTCGTCTCAAGACATTAAGCTGCGCGCACAATACTACAATCCCCATAGTCCAATTTCCTTAAAGTAGTGATAATACAAATATATATTTTGTTTAGAAACAATGATTGCTGTATTATATGTTTACAATACTTTTTGAAGTAAATACACTACATTGTGACGGAAAGGTGTAATTTTCCAAAACACTAGATTTAAATGATACATTTTATATCTTAATCTTCTCTTTGTTAAGCTAAACAGATAGACTCAAGGAGCTCACTCATTAAAAGGTATGTTTTCTAATTCTTTAATCATTCTTGTGGCTATTCTCTGAAACTTCACCAATTTTTCAGTATCCTTCTTGAATTGTGGACACCAGAAGTGGGCACAGTATTCCAGCAGCGGTCACACCAGTGGTAAATACAGAGGTAAAATCTTACTCCTGGGGGGATTCTGCACACATGCATATTTCATGTGCTGTGCATATTTTTAATTCCCCCCCCCACACACACACACACAGAAAATAGCTACTGCTGAAAAGTTGCTGCAGTTCTGCCTTTTGCCTATTAGTGGGCACTGTGGTATTAGAACACTGCAGCCACTCCTGGTAAGCCCCAGCCAGGATAGGTAAGAGAAAGAGCCTGCCTTCTTCACAGAGCTGGTCAGGAGACAGGGGATAAGGGGACACAGACAGCGTGGGGGGTCAGAAAGGGGCTCATAAGCGCTAGTGTGGGAGGACAGACTGGGGCAGGGGCTGAGTGGGAGTGGAAGCACAAGGCCACATAGGCAGAGCGGGAGAGGGGCAGAGCTATAAGGGAGAAGGGGACAGCTGAGTGGGGGCACAGAGACAAATGGGGGCAGGGGGTGCATGGACACATGGAGATGAGGGGAGGGGGCTGGCGGAGGGGATGCAGGGAGACATTAACAGGGGGTGCAGGGCAACGGGGGGAAGGAGGATGGCTGAGTAGGGGCACAGAGACACCTGGGGACAGGGGCAGATGTGCCTGCCTGAATGGGAGAGGCTAGGGGTCAGCCAGGGTCTGCATGGGGATGCTCCCTAACAATCCCTCCCTGCCACCCCCAAAAAACCTGTTCCAAACTTTTCCCATGCATACCCAACAACCCTTCAAGTTCATACCCAGGCTCCTTTCCAGGAATTACTTCCCTCTCCCTCAGCTTCTCCAGTACCCCTGAATCCCCCAAGCCTTTACACTCTGAGGGTGTGGGAAATACAGTTCTGTACTGTAGTTTAAATTAATTATTACACAGAGTTCTGTATTAATATGCCTAGTAAGGAATCTATTTGTCAAAAAACTTTTCCTGAAACTTTTTTGTTAGCTGTATTGTTAGACATATTAACTGACAGTTATTTTGAAATAAATTACCAAAATAAGTGAAACTGGTGTGATTATATTGTTATTTTGACAAAATATGCAGAATTTTGCAGATTTTTAAAATATTGTGTGCAGAATTTTACATTTTTTGGTGCAGAATTCCCCCCAGGAGTTATAATCTCTCTACTCCTACTCGGGATTCCCCTTTTTGCATCCAAGGACTGCAGTAAGCCTTTTGGCTATGGCATCACATTAGAGTTCATGTTCAGCTAAGTATCCACCACACCCCCAAATCTTTTTCAGAGTCACTGTTTCCCAGGATAAGCTCCCCCATCCTATAAGTATGGCCTGCATTCTTTGTTCCTAGATGTGTGTGTGTGTGTGTGTGTGTGTGTGTGTGTAGCCATATTAAAATGCATATTGTTTGCTTGTGCCCAGCTTACCAAGTGATCCAGATTGCTATGTATCAGTGGCAGCCCGGACCCTGGCCACTCACAGGGCTGGCCAGCTGCCTGCCTCGGACCCCCACCTCCCGGGTGGGCTGGCCTTTGGGGCACAGCTCAGCTGTGTCCCAAAGCTGTGTGCTAACTGGGCCGTGGGTTGAGAACCACTGTATTAATGGAACGGAAAGTGTTATCTTATGATATGACTACATATGTTTTTTCCCAGCTATAGAACAGAAATATTATGGAACACAATTATTATTGATAATTCTACCATTTCTATCTAGTAATGGACCAATACTATTGTTGGGAATCTTTGTTCCTAATATACTTTAAAAACTCCTTATTGTCCTTAACTCTGCTGGCCATAGATTTCTCTTTGAGTCCCTTTGCTTTCCTCATCAATTTTTCTAGTTCCTAGTTTCTGATTTAGATTGATTACTATCAACCTCCCCTTTCTTCCATTTGTTTATTCTTATATATAAAATAACATTTTTTATAGCAGCCTTCACTCCTCTGCTACACCAGATTGGGTTTTTTAACCAATATGGCCTTCTTCCTCAGTTGTAACTAGTAAAGTATTCTTAACCAATAACTCACTTTTTTTTGATTAAATTCTTCCTCCTAGCTAATCTGGTTCATAATTGTTTTCAACATTGTGAAATTAGTCCTTCCAAAGCATCAAGTATATGACACTACTGTGGACTTCATTCTATTTAACACTTAAACTGCTGTACATTTTAGTTCTTTGATGTTTTTCTTTTTCCAGAAAAAAAAATTGTTTTTTAACCTAGAAATATAAGGAATGTTAACTCTTGTCTTCCCTGATCTTCTTGGGGACATCTCATATGACTCAAATGTGGTTTAGCAGCTCAGCCTTTCATTAGGTTGTAAACTGGTTGGGCCAAGGATCATCCGCTTGGTATCTGGTTTATAGTGCCCAACTGGGATACTACCCTCATACTACTAATCATGAAGTGTTAAATTCTTAACAAAACCAGCTTTCCAGAGTTGGAGACATAGGAACAAACAGAAAACAAAGTTTTAAACAGCCCCCGTGTCAATCTCTTCCTTTCTCTACGGCTGAGGTTCAGTTCTATGGACTCTGATGTCACAAACCCCTTGAGACGAGCTGCCAGGGCACTCAACAGCGGCAGGTCTCTCAGGGAGGGAAACTACCCGTAGAAGAAACAACCTCCCGGCCCAGGCTGCTTCATGCATCGGCCTAAGCCGGTCGATCGCCTGTGCTGCTTGTCTTTACAACGGACTCCCAGGTAATCTCCCCCTGCCCTGCAGGGAGTGAAGGGTCTTGCGTGTCCTTGCCCCCTCATTAATGGGGTCGGTCCCCCTGCCTACCCCTCAGTGAGTGAGAAGACCTGGGGCTAGCCCCCTACCCCACACCACGGGGGCCTCTGTCCCAGCGACCGAGAGTGAATGTCCCCCGCCCCACGCTGAGACGCGGATAGAGCCCGTCCCGCACTGAAGCGGAAATCTCCAGGAGACCTCACTCTGAGCATCTCTCTGCCCGTTTGAGCTCTCCCGCTCTCTCGTGCCCGCGCTCCCAGGGCCCGCGCCGCGCGCCCCCTGCCCCGGGCGGCGCTGTGCCCGCGCCCCTGCGCGATGCAGTGTGGGAATGGCTGTGGCGCTGGGGTTGGCTGAAAGAGGCGGCCAGTCGAGGTTTAATGTCCGCCATGTTGGCCGTGGCGTATTGAGCGGAGCCGGAGCGGCAGAGAAGAGAAGCCAGCGCCCAGCCCAGCCGCGCCAGCCGGCGCCGCCGGGCCCCGCGTCGGAGTGCGCCCCGCCCCGCTGGGGGAGCCCCGGTCCCTCCATGAGAGCGCTCGGCGGGGTCCGGCTCTCAGCTCGGAGCGCTCTCACTGCCGCCCCCCCCTCCCCAGTCGGAGCCGCCATCGCTGCCTAACATGAGCAAACTGTCGTTCCGGGCCCGGGCGCTGGACGCGTCCAAGCCGCTGCCCGTCTTCCGCTGCGAGGACCTGCCCGACCTGGCCGAATATGCCTCTATCAACCGGGCCGTGCCGCAGATGCCCACGGGCATGGAGAAGGAAGAGGAGTCGGTACGTGAGACCCCCCCCGGCCGGGTCCCTCCATCCCCCCGCACCCGACCCGGGGCCCCCACCTTCGCCTCTGCGCAAGCACAAAATGGCCGCCATCTTCTCCCCGCTCTCCCCGCCCGCGGGGAGGGGGGACCGGAGAGGGAGGGTGCCGAGCCCAAATGATCCCCCTCGTCCCATACCAAGTCTTCCCCGTGGACCCTGCCACCCCGAACCCACCCGCCGCGGCGGCTGGCAGGGCCGTTCCCAGGCCTCGGAAGGCACAAAGGGGTCACGTGACGCAGCGGGCGGCCGCCATTTTGTTGTCTCTGGTTCTTGGGCTGGGCCTTGTGCGGCAGCGCGAGCCGGTGCCTGGGGAGGCTGCAGTGCTCTCTCGCTGCCACCGGGTGGCGTTGTCGAGTTATATGCTGCGGTAGTGGGAGCGCGGCATAAGCTATGGGTGTTGTGAGGAAGCTGTGGCTGTGCACGTGGTGGGTCTGTTCTCCTGCATGTGCCAGGACTCGGCTGAGATCATGGCAGAGCAGCCCACCTAGGACTTCTGTGCGGCTTGATTGTACCTATGGGCTCAGGAGCGTGATCAGCGCCGTGGACCCACAGTGAAGGTTGCAGCCAGGCTTATACCTCTGTCTATGGGCTATATTGAGTCACTGGGGGAGACGGCACGTGCTATTCTAGACGCCCGCTTTTAACTATAAACTTGATATAAATTACTGACTTCCATGTAACTTTCATTCCTGAATACGCTGTGAGCTCATTGAAGGGCAGGGGGGACATAAGCATAAGACTGCAAGATAGTGAGGTTTTGGGGTTACAAGTCTGCTCCTTGCTACTCGGATCTTTGTTGTAAGAAGGGTTTTCAGTCTAATGACAACTTCCCTTTAACAAGTTACGTAAACATAAGAACTTTTTGTCAGGTTTATGTCAATACTGGCACATGATGTGTAATCACAGAAATGCCTTCAAGCACATGGTGAACAGGAATAGTTCATACACGAATCAGATAAAGGAATAGCGGTTGTTACAATTCAGACACACAGGCTGCTATTTTTTTTACAAAATTCTTAAAGATAATATAAAAATCTGAGTTTGGGAGTTTAAATCTCCCACTTTCTGCTTCTTTCTACTGTTTTACTGAAGATTTACATTTTCAGTGGAAGACAGTCACTTCAAGCCCTTTTGCTTAAAGGGTTGTCAGCTTAAAAGTTGTTTGAAAACATTTTACCTGCCATTGTTACAATGTAGCAATACTATACCTGAAGAGACTGTGGGATGGTAATCTTCAGTTTTAGTTTGTGCACATGACAGCTCTTGTCACTCTCATTGTTTTCCTAGCATAGTCTGTTCTTCCCTGTTTCTATAGGGGTTTTGTACAGCAGTAGAAAAGAGAACATGTTTAAAAATGTGACCTTTAAAACCACAAGTATTGGTAAAGGGCGGAAAGTTAAGGAGCAAGTCTGGCACTTACCTTACGCTAACTTTTTTTTTTTTTTTTGAACTTTACTAGATTTCAAGTTGATAGTACGGTAAGTGGTTGGGTTAAGACAGTTAAGCTCCTTTCTGCATTCCTATAGATACTAAAAGTGAAGTTTGTTACATTTCTCTAAACCTAAGGAATGCATTCCTTGGTTTTCAGGTACAGCCTTCTACACATGGTACAGTGTACAATTTTAAAAACCATGTGGAATTTCATGCAACAATTTTGTATTGGATAATTTCTGGATGGATTAGGAAATATCAATCTGTGTCCTGTATTGTGTTTGTGTTGTAAATCTTCTTTTAAGTTGTATTTTGGAGTTTGAGGATTTATACTATACTTAACACTTATGTATCATATCGAGAACTTGTACAAACAACTACTGTAATTATTTTATTCAACAAACCTGTTTTGCTGAACTGTAATAAACATGACTTTTTTTGAGACTAGATGACTCAATTGAGTTGAATGAGATTAACTTTTGTCCAATAAGAATGTTTAGGTACTGTAGGTTGGTACAGTACAGAGAGACCTGTTTGAATACAAACTTTTCATTTTTTGAAACAGTTTTGTTATGCCTAACATCTGTATTTTAATTAAAAGTAATATATTACCAGATAACTTTTGTCTTTGTTTTATTTCTGCTATAGGCTTTGTAGAGGTGAGTCTCTTGGGGTGAAAACTATACCAGCATGACTAGCCCTTTCTTTCTAGCTAAGGCAAGGTTGATAGTCACTGTCACAGGTTTTGGGCAAAAAAGAGGGTTTACTAATATGAAAAATCTGATCAAGTGATTATGCTTAGATTTTTTGCAAATAAAGCTTTAAAAACAAGTGACTAACAAAATAAATAGCTAGCCAGACAACTTTAACTCAAGTTAAATTTGCATATATCTTTTTCTCTGATAAAGTAACAAATCAAAGAATATTCACTTGCCAATGGAAAACTCTTGTATCTTGTTGAACCCATCTAAAATTACTTCAGGAACTGTATAACATCCTAGTTAATCTCAAACACTTTCTTCTTAAATTACTATGCTTGGATTTGCTACTCAGTTTTTTTTCTGTAGCCATTTTTCTCCCTTCCAGAATGTGTTTGGTGTTCAATATAAGGAAATGTGGGCGATGGCAATTAAATCAGATTAATGAACTGCTCCATTAGTTCTCCAAATGTCCTGTAATACTTTTTTTGTGGGGAAGGGAGTAGGAGTTAACCTATGTAGTAATAGGTCAGCTAACTTAGTATATATTCTGTGATGCTGTATGAATGCAATTAATGGTTCAAATGTCTACTTCTTTAGACTACAAAAGAGGACATAGTTCAATGGTGACTTTTTTTTTTTTAAGAAACTTACTTTACAATAAACTACTGTGATCAGGCACCTATAGCAGCCTGCTAATAGTGTTTAAATAGGTTTCAGAGTACAGCCGTGTTAGTCTGTATCCGCAAAAAGAACAGGAGTACTTGTGGCACCTTAGAGACTAACACATTTATTTGAGCATAAGCTTTCGTGGGCTACAGCCCACTTCTTCGGATGCATAGAATGGAACATATATTGAGGAGATATACACACATACAGAGTTGTTTAAATACAATGTCAAGTTTTACATAACATCAAGTATGTATTCATTTAAAGTTAGATTTAAAAGAGCTATCCTTGAACTAAGTATCTTGCCATGAGATTAAACTACTACTTTAGCACTGTGTATAAAAGGATGCATATTTTGCTTCCACTTCATCGCATCTTTCTACCCCTCCCCTTCCCAAAAAGAACCAATACAGAAAATAACATAGCTTTAGTAGTAGAAATGGAATCTTCAGATGAGTAAAAATGCTAAAAGCATGAGGCCAGACCTTACTGAACTTCTTGTATCTGAGTCTAAAATACCCCTTTTCCCAGATGTTTTAGCTATTTAAAACAAAAATTGGCAGCCAAAGGTCTTTAAGAAGATGTTAATCCAGTTACCTAGCATTACATTTCTTCTGTCTACTAAGACAAGACTTCAGATGTGATGTTGGCTCTGTTGAGAGGTAAAGGTCTTACAGTAGAAAGCTCTTTGTTACATAATACCAGCAGATAAATAACGTTTGAAGTAGTCCTCATGGTTGGCTTAGTTTAGGCCCCAGTTTCCCATGCTGCTCAGAAATTGGAATCTCATTGCTAAGCAAATTATCAAGTGCCTTAACCTAGGGAAATTTCCAGGAAGGGGAGTGCAAATCTTCATTAAGATAATAAATAAATTGCTAGTTTTTAAAAGTTCAAACTTTGGGAGTTTGGACTTTTAAAAACTACCAGTTATGTTCACCTATACCACACTAAATTATCATACAGCCAAAAAACCTAGAAAACATCCTGTTCTCAAATAAAACACAACTTTATTGCATTAGTGATTGGAAACAGACAACTGACCTAAGTGGATATATAGTGTTGTATTATTCTTGCAATATTAACAAAAAGCAGTAACATCAAAGTACTGTCTAAGTTGTTACAACAAACTTCTCTTTTAAGTTGCAAGTTGCCTACATAAAGCTGGGGGGAGGGGAGGAGACAGAGGTTTGTGTCTCTTTTTTTTTTTTTTTTTTTTCTTTGCTTTCTTATCAGTAAAGGTCTGGAAGATGGGTGTGGTTTTTTAAATAAGAATGCTGGTTTTAAAATTAGAAATTCAGATCCTGACTCAACTTGTGTTCTAGCTTAGAACTAGTGCAATAGTAACACTATGAGCTGAGAGAAGTTATGCTATTGAATGGATTTTTGGACTGCCAAACATTTTTAGCACCTGTGTAACTTCACTAACACACACTTTGGAAAAGAGAGCCTTTTAAGATTCGAAACCCTCAAACATCCTGGACGTAAAGGTCAACCAGTCAAAACAGGGAAGATTGGATTTGACTTTCTTAGCCTGTCTAAACAAGAAAAATACCTTTATCACGACAAACTTTCAGATCATTTTCTTATGCCATAAAGTGGCATTAGAACTTCTTAAATGTTTTGCAGGTGAGCTTTAAATACATACACAGCTGCTGAGATGTAAAAAATATGTTTTTTCTCCCTCGCCAAAAGTAACCATATTCAGGACAATTCCCCAAAAGAGGTGCAGGGTTTAAATGTACCTAGTGATGTGAGACTCTGTGTCAACATTGTTAATGTATCTTGTTCTTTTTAAAAGAAACCAACAAAAACCAACAACCCCATACACAACAGAAATTTTTTAATATCTGACCACAAAACTAGCTTGCCTAGGAGGCAGGGCCATATGTACCACAAACATGTATGAAGAAAAATCAAAGCTGTGTGCTTGAAGTTTTTTTTGTTCTCATGCTACCTATATTGTATTTTAAAGTGAAACATTAGTCTTGTCTAAACTAGAATGTTTGTGATTACATGTACAAGTATAGTTAAGCAGACATTCCTCTGCAGTTACACTGGTATAGCTTATTCACTATTGGGAAGCAAAATAAGCTATACCAGTATAATAGCAGTCCATGCTATGGCTTATACCTATATAACTTTGTCACGGGTGCAGTTTTT